AAAAAAAAATGAAAACAGACAAAAGCGGATATGTATCGCACATATGTATTTTTCTTTTCGCGAAAATTCATGATCATGTTGTGTTAATAATGAAGGATCAAGGAAAGATTATATTGTTATTCACGTAGAATAATTTTAGCATGGAGAAAAGAAAAAAATATAAAGGGATAGTTCGCTCTATCCCGTATGTAATGTTGAATCAGTATTTTGTTGTCCGAATTGAATTGTATTATGCGTTATCGATCGATGATCACGTCAGTATGATGAACATGCTGACCTACTGTGTATTGTAATAGCATCCCTATCGACAGTATATATTGCGTCCACCAATCGATAAGATTGCTCAAGAATCTTTAACATAAGATTAGACTACCAATAAAATCTATTGCATCTCTATATATATATTTTTATATATACATGATATACATATTGCCATTTTGATGGGACCAAAATGTGTACTTAATAATTCGCAAAGAAGTTGAACAAACATTCGATTTAATTTGTATTTCTGTCAAAGAAAGAAAAAAAAAAAGGTAGAAAATTCTACGAATCGTTTTTTTTTTTTCTTCTCTTTTTTGGCTCTTCCATCGAATGGCTGAAATTTGTTAATTCTCTTTTCTTTCTTTTCTCTTGTAATAGTTCAGATAGATATTAGGGAAACAGACCAGAGAAACACGTATTTTTTTAATGTAATGTTTGTACAAAAGTAAGATGAATCTTTTGCGAAAAGTATTAAAACAATACTCTATACAATTGTATCAAAGAGAACGTGCACGTGCATCGTGCTGTTTTTCCCTTTTCGATAAATCGAAAGCAATATTTCATTACAAAATCATACTTAACAGACTCTCAGATTTGTTATTATTTTAGTACCTATAATATTTGTTCCTACAAATCTGTAATTATTTTTAGACAGGATGGTTAGAAAAGAATTCTTTAATTCTCTGAATGATTGTTTTAACGTTTTAAAGGGAAACAAAATTCGGATAAGATGTAAGTATACATTACACAGTATTTTTTAGTTGATAAACCACTGTTTATTTACAGCTTCGGCTTCGTAATTTTTTTTTTTCTTTAGGTAGATTAATTAGGCCACTTGAGCAAGTAAACTTATATAATTAACTACTTAACGATACAATCGTTGCGAATTATTTTCGTAACTTCGAGCTACGAGTAAAACTTTTTTACTGAATAATATACTATAAATTTATACTAACGAATTTTTGTAATTAATAATTATTCAGAAATATTTTTATTAATAGAAGACAATTTCTAACAAACTCTGAGAATTTATATGCGACTATCCTTTCGTCTCGACTATTTAATTAAAGTTCACTTAACTTTATTGAATTTGTAAAAACTCCTGCTTTATCATATATAATATCTGTGTGTATATGTGTGCGTGTACATTTGCAAAATATAAATATGTACGTTATTTTTATTGCAATTTCTTGCAAGCTCTTGTCCGCTTGCGCGTATCGAAATTAATTTTATGTTTTGATATGGTTATATAGACTTTTTTTTTTAACAACCATTATTACAAATGTCTAATTGACGTTATTAATATTTCTATGCTTCTTTTTCCTTTCTAATTGAAGTACGTTTGTTAAACTGTATATTAAATACGAGACGTTTTTGTTATATCTTAAATTGTACTCAGTTTGTTTTCGCATCTATGAGAATTTTCATGCTGTGATAGTGTTTCTTATAATTTAAAGACGCAATTCAAATAAATTGTTCAGAAAATATTCATCACTTTTTTCCTTAAACATAAAGTCACATATTTTAGCTGAGTATCATTAGAATTATATAATATCAACGTTAACGAAGATTTTGTGCTTTTGGTTACATTGGAAGATTAAAAAATTCAACGAAATACCCAAACAATCCTTAATTCTAAACGTAACTCTGTACAACTAATAACAATAACAATGTATTTTGAATACAGATTGTATTCAAACATATTCTATTTTAAACAACTATTCCAATGGAAGATATAATCAACAAATTAACAATAAATAAGAAATAATCCGTATGGTCGTTTATCGTTTAAAATTTCAATATACGTGCTTCTTTGCGTAATGTCCTGTATAAAATATAGTGGAATATATGTATGCGAAAAATTATACATACGATCGATAACATTTTGCTGCAACTATAAATCTATATGCGTGTCTAAAAGTTAATATCACGAACAAGAACAGGAATTCTCTTTCTGTGTATTGTCAACACATTGAAACGATACGTGTGCCTCTCTTTCTTTTTTTTTTTCACGTTTTTCACGTAGTACATAAAAAAATATTCAGTTTGGTATAGAAACGGATGAAAACTAACCGAACAGTATTATCTCGTCCTTTTTTTACTGACTATTTACCAACTAGTGCAAACTAATGGTGTCCGCATGCGCGCGTGTCGTATCTCGGTAAAAATTGACTATATTCTTTTACTTGACTAGCTTCGATATGTATTCGCTTATCGCATTTACTCTCACAACCAGCCGAAATCCATTCCGGTCAATTGGTAGAAACGTTGATTGAACGGACGATAAAAATCTCTCAATCGTTGTATGGCTACAGGATCTATGTAAGGATGACTACGACCCTTGTTCTTACCTTAAAATTATATACACACATGTATATATATCACTGTCATAAACAAACCTTCTTTCACTCTTATGAGAAACTAATTAATGATAATTAATTGCAATTTTTTTTTTTTTCTTAATTTACAATCTTGCAATTTCTAATCAAACTCACCAAGGCAATGGGGTGTAGGACGTTCCTCAGATTTGAGCAGACAAGGGAACCCCTTCGTGGCGTTGAAATAAAAGTGTTTCTCACAGATAACTCGTTTTAGGCCTAAAAAATCCTGAACCCTGGTAATCTCAGCGACTGGATCCACGATCAATCTCTCTCCAGAAACGAACAGAAATTGCGATAGTGGAAAGTACTGGAGCCATCTCTCTAAGTGTCGTGCGTATACCCCGATTTTCAATGGTACCCACGTTGTGTCCACGATTTTTGATCCATTCAGAAACGCTAGATCCTCGAACTTTGGCATATTGGCTCGTTTACTCCTCACTTGCGTATAATCGGATATTGCTCGAGTAACTGGATCCCTTACTACGAGAATCAATCTCATCGCCGGATTCATGCGTTGGACTCTCCTTGGCACTTCACTCGTCACGAAATACGATGGAGTTTTTTCCATCGTGATCTGAGTGGATAATGTCGGAGGCATCCTGTGCCTGGAATATACATACATAGATAATTGGATAAGTTGCTTTCGCAAATTCGTATTTTATTTATTCTTATTTCCAGACTCTTGATCGCTTTAAATTTGTCATTTCAAATAGTCTAAAGATAGATTCCGTGCAACGAACCTACCTGTACCAATGAAATCCTTTGATGTAATGATGATCGAAGAAGTGAACTTCAGATCCAGCAGCGCGAATAGCAGGATGTAGTCTCAGAAACTCTAACAACGCTCTAGTCCCGCCTTTCTTGACCCCGATTATCAAAGCTGTTGGCAATTGTTTACTGGGCATTAAGCCCTGCTGTCTCAAGATTTGATACTTTCGTAAGGATCCTGCGTTTCCTTTGACGCTGTTGTTGCCTGTCCAAAGCGACACCACTTGAAGTCTCGATACTTTCGCGCGTTTCAATTCGACGTCATTTGTTAGAGAGGATTCCTTGATCGTTAGACGATCCAGATTCGGATTGCGGGCAAAAGAAACGAGATTTCTCGGCTTTTGTAAGGTTGCTTTACCAGAGAGATTGTTGAGTAGTAGCGAATTGTCGATTAGAAAGATCCAGATGAGAATTATCAGGAAACAAACTGGAACCAGGATTTTCTTCGACCAAGGCCCTTTTCTAAGTTCCATCCTGAACTTAAGAATCGTCGTATTTCACTGGCATCTTGGATTCCATTCTATTATCAAGCTTTCAGTCTTCTACCTCCATGTTGATATGTTAGGATAGATATTATTGTATCTATCATATCTATGTGAAATTTTAATCGTGATTTGTGAATGTATGAAAATAGAATATGTTATGCTTAGTATTATAAAATAAATATTTCCGTTTTTTGTACACGTTATGTATATAGAAAATTTTAATCGTTTATCAAGGATCCACGTGGAATTAACATAATGTTCAAATATAATTTAAAACATAAAAGAATGGTAATATATAGATTATAATAAGAAAATTCAAACTCTGCGTGCAGCATTAAGAGTTTATTCAACCATACGTATCGTAACTGCATCTCGCATAGAGGAGTTGCATATGTGCAGGATACTACGCTCGTTGTCAGCGTACGATAATGTCAAATTATCTTATGAAATATAACAAAATGTAAGTGTACAATATATTTCACGCTTGATTTACTCGACAAAACATTCAATTTTGTAAATATTTTTTTTTTCATAATTATATGGAAAAATGATAAAACTATATACATATTTACATGGTACATTTTTCTAATTCAAGATTGAATTAAACATATTAAAATCTTCCAAAGAACTTACAACCTATCGCGGTAGAAAAAATATTTCGTTGTCATTTATACTCATCGCGGTAATAATCTAGGATTATGTTCGTAGCAATAGTATGGCCTGTTAATTCACGATACATTCATTTATGTTACAATAAATTTCTAAAATGTGCACGCAAGCACTCTCGTTTCTTATCGACGTGAATTCCTTTCTCTGCGTTAAGCATCACGTACCCAACGTGAATTATTAAGGACTGCTTGCACATTTATTATTGCAACATCTTACCTCCATGCCGCAGAGTATCCAAACGCCAAGTTAATTTTGCACGGTGTACATAATTCCGATCGCACCGTGGTATCCGATTCTTTCTGGGCAAGTAGACACGAGGATATGTGATTTCGTTTTAAAGGAAATGCACGCATTTAACGCATTATCAGTCGGCGCGTTCGTAACAATCGATAACGCGGAGCAAGTAGAAGGGAGAGATGGTAGTACAACACAAGACGCATCGACGAAAATTCATAGCTACCGAATCGGATAACGAGATGTTGAACTGAACTTCATCCTCGTCCGGGGCTTGCTGTTTCCTTTAGATTTGACAGCGGTGCAACAATTGCTAATCGCATCGCGCGCTATAAACTTTTCCCTCTCGTGTTGCCTGCCAACATAGTTGTGCACGCGGAATACGCAACACTAGCGCCACGTTCGTTAATGCGGCGCAGTCGAGAAATTTGCTGGAAAACAGTATAGATCTTATGATATCGAATGACTGAGCCGAGTTAATAAAATCGAAATACGAATTGTTTTATCAATAAAAAGGATTAAAGGCGGTCGAGTGAGAACATTCTTTCATTGATGGTAGAATTCATGGTACAACTGGAATTATAATTGTATAATTGGAAATACTGACGTTGCGACACTCTGGAAAAAAAATTAAGTTCAAAAGAAGCTTCAGCGAACGTATTCGTTTTGTTTATTGAAACAATTGAAATCAACCGTGAAATACACTAGTACTCAGGAAAGTATATATTTTGATAATAATAATAAGTATCGTTCATTGACATTCATTAGTGAAATTCACTGTAATTTAAATTTTATATTTGTATTTAAATAGTTGTTATACTAAATGTTGAAAAAGATGAAGGAAAAATATTGCAGAATATAAAAAAGAACATCGCAATCTAATATTAAACATGATTTGTTGTTGCATACAACTACATTATATTAAATTACAACGTAATTATCGCGTAATGATTTCAACCGCGTAATTGACAAAAGTACGTAAATTTAAAAAGGAAAAAACAACGTCACGCAGATAATAAAAGCGACCAAAAGTTCAACTTGAAATCATTTCTCTGTGAAACGCGCGCTCCGAAATTCTCGGAGCGGGGAGGCGCTAAATCAATTAGGTACGTGACTGCCGATGGCACATTGACTACGCGTTCAGTCGCGCACTTGTGTGCGTGTTTCTCGGTAGTAACGTTAATTAGTAATACCGTGAAAACGGTGGAATAAATTGACGATCGATGCTTTCGACGCCCGTGACAAATGGATAACGAAAGAGATCGTTTACATCGATGGGAAACCATCGAACGTAACGTGCACTCGCAGAGTTGGATGAAAAGAGAATTCCTTGATATGAATGAATGACGGGACGTATCAACTAGATACAGGACTGCTCGCGGCAAGGGCATAGGCCATGCGGCCCGTTGATTGGCCGGCCTTTGAAGGGGCAAGTTTAGTCAGGGGCCGCGAGAGCGCGCGTCCCGCGCACTCGTGTTAGATCTCGATGGCGACCAAGATGTGCCTGCGAGACGAGCCGCGAAAAGCTTAACCGTATATAGTGTCCGACTTATCCGTGAATTCATCGTGGCCCCTGTTTACTCGATGCGATCGGGAAACATTTTGCATGCCTTCGCCGTGTCAGCTCGCCTTTATTATTACGGCCGATATCGGATCAGTGTATATATTCCGTCGTGAGTGTGGTGCGTGTGTGCGTCGTGTCGAAGTGTCGAGAGTTCACGCCGAATCATCGTCGTCACTGGGAGAGAGCGAGAAAGTAAGGACGAAGAAAGAGAGCCACGATGTGTCTGCGTTTCAGTCCGTACCATTTTTTCGTCGATAGTTGACATTTTCGAGGATGGAACGTCGGTCTCGCCGGAGAGACGCATCGTCATCACGGCATTAGCAAATATAAGCACTGTCGGATAATACCGAGTAAGTCTTTTTCGAGAGCACCGCGGTTCCTTTCTTCAAATCCCCCCCTCCGTGCTACCTTCGTCACTCTTGTTCGTTTAACGCTCGCTCTTGCTTGTTGTTTCGCTCGCTTTCTCTCATCTTCTTTTTTTCCAGCTTCTTTCTCCTCTCCGCTCTTGTCCCGTCGTCTTCTTTCCTCTTCTTCCTCTTTCTCATCTTCCTCAACTTCACCGTTAAATCTCTGCCTCTTTTAAAATTGCTCTCTGCTTTTTTTTCTTGTGCATCGTCGGTTCGTTCCTGTAACAGGAACCGATAGGCGCGTGTATCCGCTCGCGGCCGTGTTTTCTATCATATCGTATCAGCACACGAAGATCAAAACTCGCGATGTTTGACTGCCGTCGCAGAGAGAACGTCGTGAAACCAGCGGGAAGAGAAAAGAAAGAAGAACAAAACGGAGTAAGAAATTACAAACGGACGGAGGAGATTTCTTCGTGCGTAACACTCGGGAATCACCCGCTCCAAAATACACCGCGGTGTTTACGTCTCGCGGGTCCTTTGGCACTATTCCCCTCCCGCTTTCTCGATCGCTTTTCCGCTCCTGGATTTTTATTTCCATCCTGTCCTCCTTTTTTTTTGGGGGGGGGTTACCTTTCCTCCTCGTCCTCTCATCTCTGCTGTGCCCCCTTGTTTTCTGTCTCTCTTTCCCTTCTCCACCTTTTTCTTTCCACAGGGATCAACTGTGTATCTTTCTCTCTCTTTCTGTGCCTCTCTTTTTTCCTCTTTCCTGTTCCCTCCCTTTCCCGCCGCTCTCTTTCACTCTGCTTCTAGCCACGAGAGCTTTGCGCGTCTCGGGGCGCGTGTATTCACGAATCGAGCTCTCTTTCTTGACGTACCCACCACCGAACGCAGCCGTGCGTTTTCTTCTAGAGTCGTTCCACCAGCTTTTCTACCAGTCGCAGTTTCGTTCCTCGCTTCGTGCCCTACCTTTTTTTTTTTTTTTTTTTTTTTTTCCCTCGAG